AGTCAATGACAACAGTTCCTACATCGGTCTTCAAACAACTAAAGGGAAGGAAAGGAGATATATGCCCTCTTCAAAAAAAAGTTGCAATAATAGTCATTCTCTAGGTAGTTTAGGTCAAGGAAATTCTTTACTAAAAGATAATTTCAGCAATATATTATAACTTTATAAGTCATATGTGTGTTACTTAAAAATCTTCCCACTTGCAATACGCTTAGTATTTTAATATGGAGTATACATGTATCACCAATAACAGTCATGGACAAAATTTTGAAAATTATATGTGGTATATAAATCATCGAGACTAACAAAATTTTTAAGTGATATGAAAAAACATGTTGAAATACATCTATATACATAGTATAAGATTCCATATTGTTATGTTTTTCTTCTTCTTATAAATAGTATATAAATAATCAATACTAGTAACGTTTTTAAAATTTGACCACATAATAAACAATCAAACGGAAGATAAAAACGATATAATATTTTAATTTTTCAAAGGATATTTAATATGTTCTAATCTTATATTTGCGAACATATATATTAATATATGTTCGCAAATATAATATATATGTTCGCAAATATAAGTTAAGTTTAGCGAAATTAAACTGAAAACGATAAATTATCTTGAGGCTTAAATACTCAAAATCATTCAATTACATGTCATGAATGATAACAAATACTCCGTAGATATTTCCACATGAGGCATCAACTAGCTTTTAGGAGTAAGATCGAATAAAATCATCAATTAGCCCATGCAACTTGATATTCGATGAGGCTAAAGGAATTCCATTGAGGTTGAACCATGCTCTTGTGGTCACTCCAATAATTGTACGAGTAAGACGATATTACATGATTAGTCTTTCCACATTATATCACAATGGAAACGTACGTCATTATTTAAAAAGTAATTATAATAATAACATTTTCATTTTACCTCATACCAAGTATTGTTTATCATAATGTATTCCGTAATTTAAAATGTAATGCACCTTTGCACACAATTTGAAAAAATAATCTAATTTTTTTTTACTAAGTATTAAATTAGGGTGCTAACGCTCGAGGTAAGCACATCATAGTCAGTACTATATTAGATTAAAAGACAATTTGGTTTCAAAACAAGATTAAGAGAACATTTTCATTAATGAAGATAAAAGCATTATTTATAAGAGTTATCTTAAAAAAAAATTTAAAAATTAGGGATGATAGGTATCTTAATTGAATCCGTCAAACCATTAGATCAAGTAAGTTATATTTGAAAAAATAAAATTACTACATGCTTCAATTAAGAACAAGCTAAGCTAAGCATGCTTGATAGAGGCATTAGGCATATATACTTTCATAAACTAATATCGCAGTAATACTTCTCTCTTTTCTCTCCTCTCTTTAGGGTTTCAATTTTCTTGGTCGTTTAGGCCGGAAATAGTCTAATTTTCGGAAGAAATTAGACTATTTCCGACCCCTTTTCTTCAATTTAATTTGCTTTTTTGTTATTTGATTTGTTTTGCTTTGTTTTGTTCTCTCCGTTTGTGAGAGTCTGTCCCAATTTTTTTTGGGTTTTTCCCAATTTTTTGGGATTTTGATTCTCATCTATGGATGAGAATTTTATTTTTAGGGTTTTAATAATAATTGAGAAGGTGATTTGGCCGGATTCATATGGGTTTAGGGTTCGTCATCAACTCTATGATCAAAACATCAGCGCAGATTGCGAAGGTCTCTACTTGAAAAGATGCAAAGACATCGAAAATCACTACTCGCGTCAAGTTTGAAGCGGTGGAGTGTGAGCTATACCCGATATGCAAAATAGTTATGATTTCGATTGTAAAAGTTATGTTATTTTCTCTAGATCTGTGGTTTACAAATCTTTATTATTGTTGTAGATGCCGTATGACTATTTATTAATGATAATATTCTTCTTCTTGTAAAAAAAAAAAAAAAAAAAAAAAAAACTAATATCGCAGTAGAAAATCAAATGAATGAGAATAAAAATGTAAAACTATAAAGTATAAATGAGGTTTACTTATTTTTGGATAATGAAATGGAAGTGACAAAGTAGAAAAGTATAACAAAATATTATAAAAATAATATTTACAATTCAACTTCTACATCTAATGATTGAATGAATTGTGCATGTCAATATAAAATTTAAATTACTAAAGGATAAAGATATCAAAGGGTTGGCGTAGAAGCTAAAACCATTAGAAAAAATCAATTTTCTTGTTACAAAAATCATATGGAATATATGATATTTACTAGTTATTTTCTATGAATCTAAAATATTTTTTGGTCAAACTCACCCCGAAATAAAAATAAGGTATGTCGGTGTCCCAAAAAAAAAAAACAATAATTATAATAGTTCAACAAAGACAAAAATCAAGTAGGCGAAGTTGGATAATCTTGACATATTCATAATGTGGTAGTCAACTACTGTATTATACTTCTACTTAGCAAAACGTACTAGCACAAACATGCAAATATGCAATTAAAACTAAATAAAACTCAGGAGAGATGACATAACTTCAAAAGGAGTAATAGAAACTGGCAAATTGCTTCAAAACTCGGGCATTCCCAATTACGGAGTACTCCGTCCAAAATACACTCACTCTCAAAGTCTCAAATTCTCAAATTTTTGCCACTAGGCATAAAACCTTTACCTCCCCTCTACTCCCAAATGCCTTGTCCATAGATACTAGATTAAAAAAATCGTAAAGATTGAGATCTAGTCAAGATAGGTCTCCATATAATAATAATAATAATAATAATAATAATAATAATAATAATAATAACTACTGAAGCTTTTTGATAATTTCCATTTTTCTGACAAACTTTGCATTCCTCTAAATCATCCTTTATTTTATTTTTTTTGAAAATTACCCATAACCCAATTCAATAAATGACAATAAAATATATTTTTTTCCCCATAATTCTCATTACTTAATACAAGTATATTTACAGGTGTAAACAACAATCTTTGACAAATGCGTTTAATGCTTACACCATAAATAAAAGTTAGGATTTGTTCTCTTTAGCTTAACTTCAGTTTAGTTCAGTTCCTAATTTTCTTATCTCATAAACAATTCAGTTCAGTTTAGTTCGACTCACTTCAGTAAATCGAAACAGACCCTTAGTTAAACGACGTTTTTCTTTCATTAAAAATAATTTCAGTTGAATAAAAAAATCAGTAACTTTAGAGAAGAAAATACTGAGAAATCAATAAAAATAACTTCAATTCAACAAAAATAATTTCAGTTAGTCCATTAAAAAAATAATACTTCCTCTATATTTTTATACTTAGCTTGTAACACTTCTGTTTAATTTTCACGCTTGCTAATGCATTAATATCTTTAATTACCAATACGTAAAAATTATAAACATATGATATTAAAATAGTATAAGTCGAGACGAATTTAATAAGGTCTCACATGATTATAGTTTTGCTTAACTATAAATCATCAAAACTAGTCAAAGTGGAACATATGAATAGTGCAAAAGTCAAACTATTACAGGTCTACAAAAACAGAGGAAGTGTAAGTTAGGAAAAAGTTATTTAAGTTCAGTAAAATATTCCAATCAATTCAACAAAAATAAGGTGAAGTTACTCGTATAATCGATCAACAATCGCCTTCATAAAACCTTTCATCTAAAGCACTAGAAAAAATCGGCTTGAAATCCATTGATGCATAGTCATTAGGGTATGGTGGATACTTATGCAATCCTCTATATACTTATGGTGATTATGTAATAACCTTATGTCTTCAATTCTCGCCTAACCAACAAAGAAAGAAATTAAACACAATAAAAAAGAGATAGATATAAAAATACTAATGGAAGCCCCTATAAAGATTCACAACTAAGACCAGGAAGAAAAAGAGATGATACAGATGGAGAGAAAACAAAGAATAGTAGAAAATCTTCTCACACACACACAACTACACAAGTGATGTAATAACCATTCAAGGAAGAAATCCTATAAGGAAACTAAAAGCCCTCTCAGAAAAGAAACCCTAGAGAACGACAAATTAAAGTTTGTTAATCTTCAAGACCACTAAATTTGAACTCGAACTAAGTTAATTTATTGAAAAGCTAATATGATGAACTTGTGAGACCCTTAATGGCCCAATTTGAAATTCATCCCACCTAATTTAATTATTATTCAACCCAAAATTAGCCCAAACACGAACTTATACACCACTTACCTACCTAGCTACCTCTAACATGATTTAGCACTATGGGAACTTGAACTTGATATAGATTGATCAACAACTTCTACACTCTTCTTCGTAATTGATAATGATCCAATTCAAACTTGATTATGCCTATAATAGTAACCTAACTTGAACGGAGTTGAACCTAACCTAAGCTCAAGAAGGACCTAGTTTGAAGTTTATATATAATATCCTACTCAAATTTGAATTACCAATCATAAATCTGACTCGGTATAAATTCAATTCAAATTACAACCTAACTTGAACTAAACCTTATTGACATTTGAAAGGGTAAATGACTCGATTTAATTTGAATTGAACTTGAATTTATCCAAACATAAACCTCGAATTATGACCAAACCTACATCTGGCCAAAACTGATATATGTATCTGAATATTATTCTTAATTGACACTTATTATCTCTCGTCGTAAAGAAATCCCTACCCCCAAGCAATCTCATTTGGTAGGACTTCAAACCTCTAAATTCTAAGGTAAAGACAACATTTTGTTAATATGAATAATTTTTATTGACTCATGCGACCCTGAAACAAAAATTAACAAAACCAAACATCTAAAATACGAGCATACTCTTCATTTTACGAATGATCTAACTTTACATCTAAGGTAAAGACAAACACATGATGTGATTATGATATCAACATTATTCAATGGCATTTTTGTCCAAGTTTAATTTTTGATTAATTGAAAATCATTAGTAGTACTAATTATAAGTATTTTTTGTTATGAAGATTTATGAGTGTTCGTTTTTCATTTTTATAATGTCGTTGTCAGCTGAAATTTTTGCTTGAGTGGGCCCCACAATACCGTGTGTAAACACAGCCAATAGCCGCGCTTTCGAGAGAGAGAAGATCTAGAGAGAATGTTAACGGCAAAGTGACCAAGTCTTATACTTCCCCTTCTTTTTTGGTTTATTTTTGTAACTCTTTTAGAAAATCATTACTGTAATTGTTCACTTTCACGTTGATAGTTACCCAGCAACAAAAGGTTAGCTTTTCATAAATTCTTTCGTTTTTTTCTTTTTTCTCATTCATTTACATTCAAAATTGTGATGCACAGTTGAGGTTTGAATTCAGATACTATTGGAATACTTGGAAGTTTCTGAATTAAATTAGTCATTTTCAGAGAATTATCAACTGGGTTTGCTTCAAAAGTCTGTTCTTGATCTGGGGTTTTCTCAATTTCATTCATAGACTCAAAGTTCATCTTAATTTTAAGTTTGTGATCTGGGTTTTGTGTGTAATTGATCTGGGTTTTGCTGGTTTTGTGCAATTTGATCTGGGTTTTGTCAGAATTTTACTGGGTATATCATAATTTCTGTGATTATCTTCAATCTGAGAATTTTTTTTGGAGGGAATTGGTAAATGTTTATCTTGTTCAGTTGTTATAGCAATTGATACAAGTACCAGCTGTGCAAATTTGGTGGTTGAGAAATTTGTGTTGTTATTGTGTGAAATTAAGGGTTTTGTTGAGACTTGCGAAGTTGAAATTGCTGAATTTTGTTGATATAGAAGATTTATTGAACAATTTCTGAGTTACCTCAAATTTATCAAATTTAGGTTTGAAAATGATGTTTATGTAGATATGATTAGCTGTTAGATGGCGACAGTATCGCCATCTCCTGATTCTGCACCTTCTGGTGTACCACCAGTTTCATCTAACCCACCACCATCACCATTGCCTGTAACACCACCACCACAGCCTTCAACAACACCACCTCCTCTTGCACAACCCACTGCTAATCCACCGGATCCTTCGACGCCTTCACCTCCGTCTACGGTGCCAAATGCTTCACCCCCTAGCAATCTAGGAACTCCAGTTGTTACATCACCACCTGTAGAGTCACCTCCCCCACCTACTGCTAGTGCACCACCCCCTGCTACACCTGTATCCCCTCCTCCAGCTCCCTCCACTGCTTCCCCACCACCGGTCCCCAGTGTTTCACCACCTACACCAACAACTAATCCCCCAGTAAATGCACCTCCACCTGCAGTAGTTACACCTCCTTCGCCACCTGCCAACCCGCCTACTGGTTCACCTCCATCACCCCCATCATCTACCCCACCTACAAGTTCTCCCTCACCACCTACAACTTCTCCCCCAACAAGTTCTCCAACCCCACCAGCAGCAAACCCACCAAGTAATCCTCCCCCTCCACCGCCAACGTCAAACCCCCCTGACGGGTCTCCACCTCCACCAGCATCGAACCCACCAAAAACTTCACCTCCTCCAGAAGCACCAACTTCTCCTGTAAATCCAACACCACCATCATCACAGCCTCCTCGAAGCCCTCCTTCTCCACCTGCTGCATCTCCTCCAAAGAGTTCAACTCCACCCTCTGGAGATGCCCCACCTCCATCTGATCCTAACCCAGCTTCTCCACCATCTACAAAACCAGGTGCACCTCCTGGATTGCGACTTTCTCCGCCGCCCCCAGGCTTAGTCCCACCGACTTCTAGTTTACCGGGGAATAGACCAGGTTCTGGTTCAACTGAAACTGCAAATAATGCTCCCAGTAATGGGGGGATTGGTATGGGAGGAGCTGTTGCTATTGGTGTAGTAGTTGGCCTTCTAATGCTTGGACTCATTGGTTTGGTTGGTGTGTGGATCTTTAAGCGAAACAAAAAGTCTTCTGGACCTTATGATGGGCATGTCATTCCTGCCTCAATTGGCTCTTCTCCACGATCAGGTAATATTTTTGCTCCTTTGCTGTGGCTGAAGAATGTTGATTACTGATAACTGTTTTCACTTTTCTGTTAATCTGATTTCATTCCAGTTCTTATTTTCCGTTTGATCAATATACTTTTTTAAGAAACTTTTGGCTGAAACCCTTTCAATGTCTCTCTAATACATTATTTCATTATGTGTCATTTACTTTTTCCTGGTGAGAACTTTTAAGTTGTGAATATATGCGGAGTTAATGTTAAGAGAATGCTACTAATATAATTTTGAAAGAAGTAACTCATTGCGAAAACTTCTTGCTCTTTTGATTAAAGGGTCTTGATATAACATTTCATCCCAAGTTGTACCAACTACCTAGCGTCAACTAATGCCCCAAAAGAATGTACTTTTCTTTCAGCAAAGTTTTACAAATGATAAGGTACCCCTACCAACAAAGTTCTACTGTCTTATCTGGTAATCCTTTATGCAGTGTTGTCTATCAATATGATACTCTCTGAAGATAACTTAGTTAAAGAAATTCATCAATATGGTGTATGAAGGTTTGGAAGCTTGTGAACGTGTCTATATAATGTTGATAATTAAATAGGTTGTAAAACTGGGTGAATTGGTGTAAAATATCGTGTTAATATGACTCAGATGACTACTTTATTGGTTACAGATGGAAAACTGTTAGTGACGACAGAGTATCCAGGTTCAAATTTTGGAGGCTCTGGTAGTGAAACACCCACTGATTATGGTGGATATGGCCATTCAAGGTCCTGGTTTACTTATCAAGAGTTGTATGATGCTACCAGTGGATTTTCTGATGAGAAACTTCTAGGTGAAGGTGGGTTTGGTCGTGTATATAAAGGACTTCTATCAGATGGCAGAGTGATAGCTGTGAAGCAGCTTAAAGTTGGTGGTGGACAAGGGGAGCGTGAATTTAAAGCAGAAGTGGAAATAATTAGTCGCATACATCATAGGCATTTGGTTTCTCTTGTTGGGTACTGCATTTTAGAGAATAAAAGGCTGCTTGTTTATGAATATGTACCTAACAACACACTCCATTATCATCTTCATTGTAAAGGTTTGCTCCTTATAGCTCTGCTTTGTTTTTTTTGCACCTTGTTATAGTGCTTGTAGATTTTTTTAATGAATGCCCTTATCTTGGCAGGAGATGAAAGGCCAGTTTTGGACTGGGCAACACGCATTAAAATTGCCGTGGGCGCTGCTCGCGGTATTACGTATCTTCATGAAGATTGTGAGTGTTACTCTTTGCTTTACAATTCTACTATAAATGCGTACATATATGTCTCACAATTATCTACAAAAAACATTTACTGGTTAACTGAGAATGCATTTGTGTTTCTCAAGTGCTGCAACTTTCTGCAAAAGAAGAGGGAGTCATAACCCTGGGTATAATACATCCAGAGCATATATGCAGTAGATCTAATATTAAGACTGAGTCCAAATTTTGGACACTAGATTTCTCCTTTTCCCTTCTCAGCAGCTCATATATAATTTGTTATGGCTAGAATGTCTTAAAATATCAAAGCCATGTGCAGATTTTAGGCAATGTTGGAGTTCCTTCATGTCTACTAGTCATATGCTCATACCCAGTCTAATTTGAAAAATTATAAAAGAGGAGAATGTGTAGCTGAAGGATTCTAAAATTTAGCACGCAGCCGACGCAGGACAATTACACAAAAGTGTCCACGTAGATTCATCCCTAATCACCTTATAAATCACTCACCAGCAGGCGGTCAGGTCTCAACCTTAGCAGTATGCCTATACCTTATCTTTAGTGTCTGCTGGTGACAACTGCTAACATGCTTGGCTTTCACTAAACTTACTGCTAGCCAGAGTTAGGATATGAGGAGCGTGCCCTGGATGACTGGATGGTGCTTCTTCTTCTTCCTTTTTTTTTTCATCGCTGCAATGTCATGTTAGATCACATTTATCCATTAGGTTGTATATTCCTGCATTATCACCATATATATTTTCATTACATGATCGTATATCTTTCTGTAAACCAATTTGCTTCATTGGTACTTAATGTTATATTAGTGTCATGACCCTCTGCTTAAGAGTCCATTAATTTTGTTCCATAGTTAAATGGAAGCATAGTCATAGTCTTGTAGAAATAAACTCTTAGACATATGTTGACCATTATCTATCCTTTCTCCATTGTCAACTTGATTTAGGCTTTTATATATTTTAAGACTGATACTTGACATGGTCCTTTACTTCTACTTGTTTTAGACAATCACTGATGGCTTCTTGTAATGTTCTTGCCCTAAATTTGTCTTCTTATACACTTCATTCTCTTTAATTTACTGTTTTTTTTTTTTTTTCGTGCCAGGTCATCCACGAATAATTCATAGAGATATTAAATCGACAAATATTCTATTAGATAATAACTATGAATCTCGGGTATGCAGTTTGCTCACAAGGCTTTTAGTCCTCAATTTCTTTCCTTTATATACCTTTTGGGTTAAGTGGTCTATTATTTTTCAGGTTGCAGATTTTGGACTTGCAAAATTGGCAATGGATGCAGAGACACATGTTAGCACTCGCGTAATGGGAACATTTGGGTAGGTATTAGTTAGAATGGTTGCCTTTATAGGTATATCTACCAAGTGAATATCTAATTAGGTGATAACATGTTCTTTGCTTAACATACCTGGTTGGTGCTGTCTGATTTCAGATACATGGCTCCTGAATATGCTACATCTGGTAAGTTGACTGAGAAATCAGATGTGTATTCTTTCGGGGTCGTCCTTCTAGAGCTTATCACTGGTCGCAAGCCTGTGGACGAGACGCAACCTTTGGGAGATGAAAGTCTAGTTGAATGGGTATGTATCTTGCCATTAGTCAGATTAACCTTTCATTGTGTAGTCCTGGCAAGAAATGGGGCATTGTTTGATTTCTTTGTATCATAAGCTTGAGGGGGGGTGCGCTGGGGGGGGGGGGGACATCTTTGTAGGGTTTGTATAAGAAAAAATAATCTTTTTGTTCTTTTATTCTCAGATAGTGTGAAACTGTGAAATATACATGACCGAACACAACTGAATTTACTTTTGCAAAAATAAAAATAAATGAAGAGGGTCTGCATGGATGGAAGAAAAATAGAAACAACCACCACCTAGTATGACTCCAGCTAGTGAAGGTTGTGGTGTATGCTGTCTTGTTCCTAACTATTTGAGATAGTGTTTGCATCTAAAAGACTTATAAGCCTTTTCAAAGAAGAGAGGTAGTATGAGAGTGAGGGATAGCTCAAGTGGTTAGAGCTTCCCTCCCGATTTCAAGAGATCTTGGGATCGAATCTCACCCCCGCCCTTGTGGCTCTCTAAACACCAAAAAAAAAAAGAAGAGAGGTAGTATGGAAGAAGTATTAAGTATATTATCATATATTTTAGCATAGATGGAAGAAAAATAGAAACAACCACCACCTAGTATGATGACTCCAGCTAGTGAAGGTTGTGGTGTATGCTGTCTTGTTCCTAACTATTTGAGATAGTGTTTGCATCTAAAAGACTTATAAGCCTTTTCAAAGAAGAGAAGGTAGTATGGAAGAAGTATTAAGTATATCATCATATATTTTAGCATAGTTGTCAATTTGCAATAGATGGAAAAAGCAAATTACTGCCTGTCTTTTTAGTTGTTCTGCTCTTTCCTATTTGGGATGTCGTGAAATAGTTCCATTTCGCTATTTGGTGTAAATTTATGGCTTAAATTATACACATGCTCTCTTTGCTCCTTTCCCCTCTTTATTTTTTTCTGACCTCCAAAATTTTGCCTTAATATCACAGGGGCTAAACTGTAATAAATTATCCTTTTCCTCATTTGTTATCTTCTTGCTATATGAAATGTGATCATAAGTCATTAAATGTTTTGATAGTAGTGATTTGGCATGATTTTCATGCTTCCTATGGGGTTCTTCCCCAATTTGGTGTGGTAATTTATATTTGATAAACCATTCCAATTCCAAAGTAATATTTTAGTCATTCTGAATCAAATAATTTTGCCATTTCAGGCACGGCCTTTGCTTGTTCATGCACTTGAGACGGGAGAACTTGACGGTCTGGTAGATCAACGTCTTGAACAGAACTATATTGAGAGTGAGATGCTTAGAATGATTGAGGCTGCTGCAGCTTGTGTGAGGCATTCATCTGTAAAGAGACCAAGAATGGGACTGGTAATTGACATTAATTTTGTTTTTACTGCTATTAGCCTAGTATGGAGAGAGTAGAAGTAATACAGATGGTCACTCTCTTGTTCTACAGGTTCTCAGAGCTCTTAGCATGTCCGACTCTGGAGATCTGTCAAATGGGCTGAGGGTGGGTGAAAGTCAGCTCTACGATTCTGCTCAACAATCTGCTGAAATTAGATGGTTTCGGAGAATGGCATTTGGTGGTGGTAGTCAAGATAGTAGTGATTTTTTCAGTAATCCCAGCCAGAATTTTGGGTACTCAGGCCAGAGCAGGCAGAATGTTGATCGTTCAACTCCGCATGATCATAATCGAAATTCTCAGAATGTGGGCTTTCCTAACCAAAGTGGAAATAATGTTAACGTTTTGGCTGATCATCATTCAAGCCAACACAATCAGCATAATAGAAATCTGAGTGGAAATAATGTCAACTTTTCAGCCGAGCGTCATTCAAGCCAAATCAATCAGAGCAATAGGAATTCCAGTGGAAATAATCTCGACTTTTTGGCAGATCGTTATTCAAGCCAACACAATCAGGGTAACAGAAACCCAAGTGGAAATTATGGTTACTTTTCATCCGAGGGTCATTCAAGCCAACACAATCAGGGTAATAGGAATCCGAATTTTTATAGGGAAGACAGCGTGAACCGGATGACAAGCTTATAAGGGGTGAATTCATCTCAAGGCGGTTGAAATTCGATATGATTGTTGGAAGGCTAGGCTCCGCTATGGAACATGTAGCTATGCTCTTTGCTGCATATTTTGCACAGAAATTTTGCATTTTCTCCATCATTCTTTATCATTGTAAGTATTACAGGTACAAAGATTTTGTTTAGCAAAATTTTTTACACTTTGGATGAAGGTGCTCTTTTTTTTTCATCCTACTCCCTATTTGGTCACAACTCCCTTTATCTAGAAATAATAGTCATGCACATAAGAAGTATGCTATATTAGGATTTTCGGAATAAGCTCACACTATCAATTTTGTGATTGATTTTACCCTTATACCTTCTTACTAAGATTGCGTTATAGGGAAGTACGAGAAGGGGTTTTTTGTGTATATAAGGTGTTGGGACAATGTAAGTTATGTAACTATTATTTCAGAACAGAGAGAGTATGTTGGTGCCGTTTTTGAAGTCTCTTGTTCGGTCTATATTTTGGTAATTGTACCTCTTGCTTAAGGATGCAATAAATTGTCGCGCAAGGTCAAGCCACCTTGATAATATATAGCACATGTATAAGTTCAGTAGCTCAGTAATTTGGCTAGCTTCATTCCATTTTTCTATAAATTAGATTAGAGGATAAGAAAATAAAGATATGTAGCAAGATTTTTGTCATGTGCTTGCATAAGTATCAGAAATCTATGGCTTGCAATCCTGTATAAGCTAAGCAAAAGATTTGATGCTGTAACATGAAGATCGCAGCATATGAAGGTTACTTAAAAGAGCAAAAATTTATGAATGAGCTTAGGTTTTACAATTAATACTCGAATTCAGGGGTGTAAAAAAGATTTATACCGAGGAGAGGTGAACTCATGGGTTAACCCAGATCAGCTCCATTCAACTCGTGAATCGCCTTTAACTTCAAATTATTATTAACTTTTTTTTTATGGTAAGGAGAAGGTCCATTCTAAAAGGGGGCATTTGGGATTGTAAGGAAAATCCCTCCTAAAATGTGTTTGGTGAGATTCAACTCCTGGCCTCACGCCTAGAAGTCGGAGAACTAGCCTACTACTATACTCTAGCCTCTTATCTCATCGCCTTTAACTCTAATAAATGACATATTTTGAACCTCAATTGAGCAGTGTATGACTTATACCATCCATGATGATCCATCAAGAGAATTGACCATCAACATCTTATAGTAATGGATGTTAAGAGTAAATGGGTCAAAATAAGTTTATTTTTTTTTAACTTCTATCTGTTAGGAGAACTAAGACTAAAGTCTAAAGAAAATGTCTTATAAGGTAGGTTGTTTTTCAATTTGTCTAACATGAATCCGTTACAAAAACTAATACTTGTAAACTCAATATATAGGTATTTCCTGACAAATTTTCCTACCAAGTATCGTTCCTCGAGTATATTTACGCATAATTTATCTATTTATCTTAAAGGAAGGATGGGAAGAAGTTGGTTATACCTGGAAGACAAGCCATTGTCACATGTAGGCTACTGATAAAGAAAGTTACCTGGAAGTGGACCTCCTTAAGTAGACATGAAGGAACATCAAATTGACATCTCCTTTTGATTCTTCTTGTTTTTTTGTGTTTTGCTAACCTCATTTTAATTTCCATTCGCTAAGTTTTTTTGTCTCCAAACTCCAATTCTTTTGACAAATTATAAACCATATGTTTTGTCTATGAAATACTAACTTTAAAGTTATCCTTTTTTCAAAAAAAAAACTCTATTAAAGAGTGGTTTTATTATATTCTCCTTTAATTTGCTTGCTTCACCCTTGTTCACAATGCTCTCCTTACAAGAGAAAGGAACATACAACTCTACAAGCAACAACTTCTTGTTCTCTTCTTTTATAATAATAATCCCTTTTTCTTTCATGATCACAACATCTCCTTGCTCGATCCCTCGATAGCTAGCTAGCTATAGCGCGATTCCATGGAGGATTGTAACATGGTTATCTCTGATTGTATCATCATATCATGTTGTTGTCAATGCTTGCTTCTACAACTCCTAATCTTCGTGTTTATACAACTCCCTCGTCGTGTGGCTCGTAAGACTAAGGAGTATGCAGAAAGGAAGCTAAGGAAGAGGAGGAAGAAGAAACAAGGTGATCATCAAGAAATAATGGTAGATGATCATAAGCAAAAGGCGGTATATGGGGACGAGTTTGTAGGGTTAGATGATGATGATAAAAGTGGAAAGTCAATGTCTTTGAGAATTCTTGAGTTAGAAAGTATGGCAATGAATGAGTTGCATAATTGGGGGAGTTGTAATGAAGAAGTTGATAAGGTGTTAGGGGAGTTGGCTTTAAAGGGAGAATTTGGATTTGGTAGTTTTTGGGGAAGAAATTCTGAAATTCAAACAAGAAAAAGTAGTAATTGTTATTGTAAATGTAATAGGAGATTGACAAAAGAAGATGAATTAGATTTTGGTAGTCACGTTGTAAAGTTTCATTTGATTGAAGTAATTGAATCTTTTGATTAACAACCTATAATTGTTATTTTTAATGATTATTAATTATATTATTTCAAAAGTCGCTTATTGTAATGAATGACTTAGTCATCAATTAATTATTGATGCATTAGGTTTGGACTTCCAACTATTTTAAAGTTATATATGGATAGGATTTTTTGACTTTTACCACAAAAAAAAATCACGAAATTATTTTTTACTACTAAAAATTTTAAAAGTTGTACTTGACCACCAAAAAAATTTCTAAAAATTATTTTTTACCACCTACCGTCAAGAAAACCCGTTAAATTTAACGGTTTTAAGAAAAACTCTTCGATTTTCGTGCGCAAAACATGTTGTTCATAAGTTTAGGGGGCATCTTGGCCCTACGGGTTCAATTTGAAGTCGGAATATAATTGACAAAAAAAAAATCAAAAATGCCTCGTTTTGCGTGTTTCACGCAAACCGAGGTATTTTTAAATGCACCAAAAGAAGCATTTCCGATCATTTTTTGTCGATTCCGACCTCAAATGGGACACGTAGGGCCAAAATGCCCTCAAGACCCCCCAAATATGATGTGTTTGACCCCAAAATCGAAGAATTTAAAATATTCCGTTAGGTTTTTGACGGTAGGTGATAAAAAACAATTTTTAATTTTTTTTTTTTGTGGTAAAATAAAACTTTTAAAATTTTTGGTAGTAAAAAACAATTTCACGATTTTTTTGGTGGTAAAAGTCAAAAAATCCATATGGATATTTTAGTTATAAAAAGTGTATATAGTTTTTAGATTCTTATTTAGTGTATTTTGTAATATAAAAGGTAGGATTTAGTGGATAAAGTTGTGTTTTCTTAATTATAATAAGAGGGGTTTGTACTTGGAATTGAAGGTGGGATAGCATAGATTGATTTAAGAAAGGCAAGCCTAATTCTTGTAAAGGATATTTTTCGTCATTTTATAAGTAATTGGGCCAAGACCTGGGCCAGGCCCAAATACATATATAATTTTTTAAAAAAAAATGGCTAAAATAACATTAAAAAATACCAAAGAGAAAAAAAAAAAAAACAATCATTTTGTAAATTCATTGCCTAGCTTGGAGAACCGGAGAAGTGATTAAGTGAAAACAGAAAATACTTTATATAAAAAATAAGGGTAATTCTATAAGGCTGCATATAAGCATTTAATATACTTCCTTTTTTAGTATTAAATGAGCAATTTATCGACAATGCACGAGTAAATCGGTGTAATAAATGTTTATTTATTGTCAACTCTTTTCATTTTTAGCTCCTTATATACAGCCGTAAGCTGCATACATCTGTTTCCAAAGATTAAAACAGAAAAAGTGATTTTACCTTGTCACAATAACAATCACAATGAAAAAACATGATCATGTGAGGTATAATTACCATTCAAACCTCTTCTCCAAAAATATAACATCCAAATTCACTAATCAAAAAATAAAAACATCCAAATTTTCATCAAATTACAGCAAAAAATTGGTAATAAAAACTCCTAAAAATTTGGCAAATGAACGACAACAATTTCAAGTTAAAAAAACTATTTTACAATTCCTAAATTTACAATTCCAAAATCACAATCAATTCTTTGACTCACATCCTCATGAAAGACCATAACATTATACATGCTCCACATTTTCCCCACTTGCTTCCCTTTTGATCATTCAAACAATTAAACCCTCCAACCAATTTAGACCATTTCAACCCTAATTCAATTCAACCCCTCTTACACCCTTTAATTTCTTATCCCAAAATTTCTTCAATCATAATTATATAACCAAAAACCAAATTGTTATGGCGAAAAAAATGAGCCATCGCCATAACAATTTGAGCAAATAAATAAAAAAAAGGAATTATTAGACGTCGCCCTAAAAGCCTGAAACACAACCCGTGTTAAATCCCACAAAAAAAAAAATGGATACCTTCAACCCCGAACAAATAAAACAACTAAAACACATATTTGAACGTTTCGACATGGACTCGGATGGGAGCATAACGCAGCTAGAACTAGCTGCGTTGCTACGCTCCCTAGGGGTGAAACACACGGGTGATCAAATATACGCGTTGTTAACATCTATGGACTCGAATGGTAATGGTTACATTGAATTCGACGAATTAGCACATGCCTTATTACCCGAGCTAAACAACCATGATATAATGATCAACCAAGAACAGTTATTAGATGTTTTTCGGCTGTTTGACCGCGATGGGAACGGGTTCATCACGGCAGCCGAGTTAGCCGGATCAATGGCTAAGATGGGTCATCCTTTGACGTACAGAGAATTGGCTGAAATGATGAAGGAAGCTGATACAAATGGAGATGGTGTTATTAGTTTTAATGAGTTTGCTAGTATTATGGGTCGTTCTGCTGCTGATATGTTTGGCCTTAATATTACTTGTCCTGTTTCTTAGATGTTACAATCAATTTTACTACTATGATTTTGTAATGTTCAATGATATAAGTATATATAAACCATGTTTCATATTCTTGGATTGTTGTTAATTGTTGTTAATTATTGGAATGGTTTAATCTAAATTGTTGGGATTTACTTGGTTTAACATTTACATTGTGTTTTTTTATGATTTGATTGAGGAATTTTGGTATATGTAAATTTGGTGAATGCAGGTTTCTTGTAAATTTGTAATTAAACTTAATGATTTGTTTTATGTTTGTGAATCTTGTAGTTTATCCAAAGGGCTAGCGTATGCGTTACTTTTTCTGTAGTCAATGTCCTTGGATGTTCAATGATTGATTATTATTATCTTTCTCTAATTCCATTCCTCGGAATCATTGTATGCCTTAATCAAGAATTTGTGTCCTCGAAATTATTGTATGGTTTCGGACCAATACTACTAGTCTTTTAATCATCCTTTATCCCTTTCTTGGAATTATTGTATGATTTCGGACCAATAATATGAGTTCTTTATCTCTTTAATGATCAATAACCATGATCCGCAACACGTTAAACAATATATAGCCAGTTAGTTAGCCACCTTAATTATCAAGGTCCAAGTGTTGATTTAATAACCCAATTAAATCTAGTATGCAAAGAACTATTTCTCTGTTTTAGTGTTCTTAGTGTAGCTATAAGAAGATTATAAACCAATTATACTTTGTCTTCTTTGATTTAATAATGCTGTAAGTTCTTATCTGGGTGTCTTTGATTTTGCTTAGTGATGAGTTTAACAATTACAAATTTACAATTAGACCCTAATATGTTCATATTAATTCTACTTTTGATGAAAATTCTGTTAAGATCGAGTAATAACGGTTAACCAAGTTCAATTTTCAACTAAATTAATTTCAAATGAATTTAACGCACACTTAATTTATGCCCTCTTGAGTTTTCCATCATGTGTTCCATAGGACTCCAACCAACCCATGGTTCGGAATCAGAAATATCTCTTGATTAACATTAACATTTTTCCAATCATTATGGCCCATTCAAGGCCCCAAACAAAATGAATGGCTTTTTCCACATTGATGGATGATGTTTATGGTACCCATCTCCATTGTTGTCATGTGCTTGTATAGTTTATGAGACTTGGCAAAGGGTATCTAATTGTTTGGTACCATAATTTATTCCTCTATAAATTTTAGGTAAATATATTTGGAGACTTATCAAACTTGTTTTCCTTTTTTTTTTTTTTTCTTTTTTAAGGGAAGGATTAAGGAGTAAGACCCTTACCGTATCTCAACCCTCACGGTTTTTTTTGGTTCGGTATTTGCGGGTCAGACACTTTGAGAGTGATGAGGATAGGTAAGGAATCTCCACTCCCAAGGTGTCACAAGTGGGGATTGAACCCTCAACCTCAAGGTTGAAAGGTGAAAATCTTACCACTAGACCAAACTTAGCTTGGTATCGAGCTTGTTTCCTTACCTGAATCATGTTGCAATATCAAATACTCCGTAATACTCATAGTTTAAATCTTAGAAGTAACTACATGTGCACAATGTATAATGTAGTACATGTACATCTCGAGTCTTTACGAGATTTTGACTAGCACAAATCGATCCCACGCGGACTATCGAATGAACATCAATGAGCTATGATGATGCTAAGCTAACTCGTAACTTTTGATGGACTTTCAAATGATATTGTAAGTTGCTTAACACTTAACAGTCATCTATGACAAGAAGCCTTATAAATATGTAGTAGAATAAAACATCTTTTTTTCCTCTATATATAAGAACACTGGATTTCTGTACAAAGTTCTACACAATTATGAGCTATAACCAAAGAATATTAGCAGTTGCTGATGGAAAGATAACGCGAGAATGTACATATTCTAGCCTCTTAATTCTGCCCTATCTGACACATATGATACAGGTTGAGTATACTTTTTCTGTACAAATCATCTTCAAAGTGATAACGACGACAAAATTCAGGCCGAAAAATTGACCTTAGTCCCCTCCAAGTTCTGAGGAGTTCTCTCAATGACTTTTTTTCTCTAATGATCCTATACAAATGTCATCAGCTTTTACTTTTCCGTCTATCCTTCTTTCTGGCTGCTGCACGGGCAGTGTAGCCCACAGTTTGTGGCCGTATTGATCTTTGCCTGACCATATGGCAGTACTCGGGGTCTTCGGTTTGACCCTCGAGTCTTAGCCATTGGATCATTTGATGGTACATGGGCACAAACCTCATCTGTATAGCGGAGTAAGTAAAATAGGGGAGTAAAGCTGAGATCACCACAAAAAATGTCAGGAGCCAAAATTTGGGTGCTGGAGCAAGTGACTCGACGAAAACCTGGTATCCTGTAGTTGAAAAGTTGGGATTCATTGAGCCATAAATCAAGAGGAAGATATACCAAAGAGCAATTGAACCCCAGATGACTATATGTTGTATTAGTGTAAAGTAGCAAATGAAAAGCGCCATTTGACAGTTGACCACCCAGACAGCACATGTGTACATAGTTGCTCCAAAGATTTGAAAGTCTACAGGCCTCCCGTCGTTACTGTAAGCCTGATTGTACATGGCTTCCTTGCAGAAGAAGAAGATGATTATACCACTGATCATTCCATTTACCATCCAGCTGAGAATACGCAACCAACTGAAGAGGACATTTTGAACACCTTCTTGATATAGTAAAGAGAACTGCCACAGGAACATTCATAGAGAAAAGTGTGAGATGAATAGAGCATTCATGATTTATTTAGTTATCCCTCTATCCTTAAATAACGCAAAGTACTAATAAGTAAGATTTTATTCAGGTTCGTTGTTAAAGATTTGTATTTTAAAAAGAAAAAAAAAAAGCACTACTTCAATTTTGTAATGATAAAATCTTTAAATTAATGGTGAGATTAGGACAATAAATCTACCTTGAGACAGAAACGTGCAGAAACATCTTGGTCAAAGACTCCCAAAGCAATTGCAGGAAGCGATGTGAAGAATACATTGAATGTTGACAAAAACCAGTCATTATATGCTGGTTGGCCAGAGAATGATGCATATGCCTCAAACAAGAAAACTGTGACTCCAAAAGTTACGTTCTTGTAGAAGAAATAACAGATCTGCCGGGAGAAAAAGAATGTGCCAACAAATTATCACTTGAAAATACCAAAATGATGGTGGAAATTAAACTAATTTAAATGGAACAATAGTTTCTAGTAGACAATACCATTGAGGTTATTCTTCTGTAACACCAATGACCATGGACAAGCAACAAACGCTCCAAAAATCGAAATTGTGCAATAGCAATATCACTGGACATTACAGCCTGGCAAGAAAGAAAGGGTAAGACATCATGCAAGAAAAGACTAAACGAGTGTTTCAAGGGGGAACACTAAAACAAAAAGACAAATCAGACAATTCCCAAGGCATGCTGTGTATATACCTGCATTCCTTCAACACCACTGATCCCAATTCCTATGTCAGCTTCTTGAAGCATTCCCACATCATTAGCTCCATCACCAATGGCCAATGTTGTTCTATTCGTACCATTTTTCACGAGTCTTGTGACCTGTGATTATCCATCGTGATTTAGAAAACATGACAAAGGGAACATGGAAATAAAAAAAGTTTTTGGAATCATGAGAAACAAGTAGCCATGCGAACTCACCAATGCCTTCTGCTTGGGTGATGATCGGCAGCAAATAACTGAGGCACAGCCAATAGCAAGCTCTAGAAATAAATTCTTCATATCATCTTCTAGAGCATATGCAAGAGATTTCCCATCAATAATCAAAGCATAGGCCTCAGAAGTTGAGCCAGATGCATCAAGTTGAGTCTTAGCAGTAGTAATTTGTTTGAGCACGGTTTCTCTGGATGCCTACAATGTTTAAACCATCACATTAGATATTACAGATTGAAAATAATACTTTCCAGCATGTAATTGCAAGAAGGCGGGGAAGCACAAGATTATAGGAGTCCATGTGATGACTGATGAGGAGCTATAAAATTGGCAATATATCCCTTAAAGTAATAGCTAACAGTGACAGACTGACAATTGTGACACTAATTCTTTTGTAACGAAAACAGGGAGATGTGCTACAAAGACTAAAGAATTCCTCCTGAGAGTTACTATCTGGCATCAGCATAATCACTCTAGGCCTAACTGAGAAATTCCTCCCATTAGAAGAATGTTCATGATATATTAATCTGAGTTCATTGCAAATACCAAAGAAGCACCGGTAAACTGGACAGTGAAAATAATTACTTCCTGGGCCATAAGAGTTTTTCAAAGGCCGCGTATGTCTAAAAGGTCAGGATGGTGGTTGTTTAGATGGTTTGCATAACTTTTTGTTTTATTTCATTGTGCATTAGTACTAAGATATTTATCAACTCACCTTAGTGATGGCATCTTTGTCACCCAACTTCTCCAATGTTTTGATTTCTGGGGTCTCTACACTAATTAGTATTTGCTTCATTCCCTGTCTCAGCAAGCTACAAGCAAACCTGAAGTTTCCATAGGCTTAAGTTAGAAATGGACTAGGATTTAAAGCGAGTGTAAATTGCAGTAGGACCAAAAACTATACCCGATATTAATAGCTGTCTCCATCTTATCCCCAGTCAAGACCCATATCTTTATTCCTGCTTGGGCAAGTTTGTCAATGCATTCTGGAACCTATACACAGATTACATGCAAAGATTAGATAAGTTCGATATCACTTTAACAATGGTTTATTTTTCTGAGCATAATTTCCCTATAAAAGAACAAGCAAAGATCCAAATCCTACCCCACGCTGAAGTTTATCCTCAACAGCAGTTGCACCAAGAAGAATCAAATCTTTTTCAATTGACTCAGCCACTTGCTCAACTAGTGATTCCTGATCTGCACTAACAGCATTCCTGGCAGCGTTAAAGTTTTCATTGAACTCTCTGTACTCTTCATCATCTATTTCCCGGTAGGCAAGTATTAAAGTCCTCAGTCCAGCATCAGCATATTCATTTACATGGTCTCTGGTCTGCTCCTCAAAGTGGCTGCCATGCCTGGCTAGTCGTGGAAACATTACACTGCATAGGATGAAAAGGAAATTGTAAAACACCCGCCAGAAAAAATATATATTATAGAAGTTGTTACGAATAAAGCAAAGATTGTCATAGTAAAATTAGAGTACAATTTATACACATGGAAAAGAGGAAAAGGGACTGAGTAAGAAAAGGTGGTTTAAACAAACCTGTCAGCACCCTTGCAGAGTAGAATTTTTTTCCCTTCCTCAGTTTCGACAATCACTGACATTCTTTTTCTAGTGCTATTGAACTCCAAGATACTTAGGACTTTGAACTCCCTGCATAACGGCAATACATGTTAAGAAAGAAGGACATAGTATAAACATTGGTTTGAATTGTACTGTTCACAAAATGTCAAAGAATACACAAGTAAAGTTGCTGTTTTCAAATATCGGAATATGAAGAGCTTGGACACTATGCAAATTCAGCACGCATAATGGTGAATATCTTAGTCTCTATATGCTTACTTCAGTTTTAACTTTTAAGCATCTTGAGGATGAAACTTAAAACCATGAAGTTGTTACAGGAACAATAAAATTAGGTAAATTAAAAACAATATATTCAATTTTCTAAGCTGGACAAAAGTCATACAGAATATATTTTGACTTTTGCAAAGGATTAATATATATATATGCAATAATATAATCAAAAGAGATCAATGTAATTGTTATTTACTAACCTGTCAATTATCTCTCCAGTAACAGGATCCAACTCATTCAATGAAACATTGGTCTGAGTCCTTTTGTGGAACTCGAAACCAAGTTCTCTAGCTGCAATAACAAAAGCTGCCTCATCGGGTGATTCTGCTTCATAGGAAACTTTGCCAGTTTCTTCATCTACTTCTGGAATCACTGTATGGCAAACGGACAGTAGTTGAAAGAACATCTGAATAACATGTGAATTTGGCTCGTTTACCCAGTTGCCATTCATAACCCTTTCGTCCTTGAAATTGAACCCTTTAACACCAGAATTTGCCTCAGCAAATTCCTCCTCAATTTCATCATGATCATTAACAATAGACTGTAAACCATTCATCAATCCATTGGGTAAAGGTGAACCTTTTCTTTTGGCCATAGCCCTCTCAACCTCTGTAATACCACGACCATAAGCTGTCCCTGCAATTGAACACTTAATGAACTCCATAGAATTGCATGTCAAAGTGCCTGTCTTATCAGAAAGTATTGTATCAACTTGACCAAGCTCTTCATTTAAGTTTGAGGTACGGGCATGAGCTGGCTTGTCAGTTTCTTCGTGATACATTAGAATATCTTGGTTGATAAAACGACTCTGGAGAACTTTCACTATCTCTATAGACACATACAAGGAGATAGGGATCAGGTAACTGTACAACATAAGGCCGGTGAGGAAGTGTAAAAACGCTGACAGTGGAGCTCTATTGGCATCGAAGTAAATTGTTGGGTGAGCATTCGGTCTAAGGTACCACCTCTTTACTACGCCATCTTTCAGGTCATCGTTGGTAGTAACACCAAACACAACAGATCCAACAAAAGACATCAAAAATAACATGAAGAATAGGAAGTATATAATCTTATCCATTTTCCTCTCAACCCTGCTTCGCTTAGAGGGTGGGTCAGTGGCATTCTGCATAACCTTGGTGTCATGACCAGTAAACACCACAACTCCATAAATATAATCTGTATTCCGAAGTTTCGAGTCTCTCAGGAGAAGTTGTTGGGGGCTGAGTGGAAATTGTTGCTCCTCATAATCCATAGTTCCAACAAAAGTATACAAATTGGCATTAGGGTCTTCACATCTAACAGTAGCTTTAAATTCCTTGAAACTGGAGTCCTCATGCAAAGATGTAGTAACTTCAAGAGCTTGTTTCAATTTCAAGTTTGTCTCCCCGTCGAGATTCATGGTTTCGACATAACAGACTGCATCCTCATAACTAGATGAAAGCAAAAGGATATCAGCTGGAAAGAACCCATCTTTCTCAACTTTCACCACATCCCCAACTTTAAGATAACTCGATTCTGACTCCTTAAACTCCCCATCTCCAAAATGCACTTGTACTTTTCTCTTATTCACCTCTACATCCTGAATAAATTATTAAATCAATATATCATACACTGGTTGACAATTCAACATCCAGCTATTAAGCTCAATAATTTTAAAAATTCAATTAGCATCCAATGCACCCCACCCTGTAACAGTCAGAAACTCAGAACTTGCTCAATCAACAACTAAATTCCAAAAATCGATCGAATTTAAAGACAAAACATAATCATCAAAACATACTTTTGAACTTAATCACATGCCATTTACAGCCACATAAAGTTAGGTTGGATTATTAAATTTTCAACAATGCAAGCCACATTTAGCAAACAAAAATCTCACCAAACAATAATTACTTCTACAGTTCTACATTCAATAACATAAACTCAAACAATGATCATACACAAATTAAACCACCATTTTTAGCTAAATTAAGGATAGAAATAGGATCAAATACCTGCTGATTTCGCCGCCAATCCTCGATGGCCTCCTTCAACATACTGACACCAATAACAAACACCAATGGTGCAATAGCACTAACAGCTGAATAAGGTGCAAGAGGAGTAAAAGCCAAGATTCCAGTTACCAGGAAAAAGAAATTGGCAACTCTCCTAAATTGCTCAAACAAAGATTTGGGTATAAAAGTTGCAAGTGTATACTTTGTTGTTCTAACATAATTATCTGGGTAATCTCTAATTGAAGACTCAAAACTATTTGGCTCATTACAATATACAACCCTTGAAAAACCAGGACCTCCAATTTGTGAAATATCATCTCCTTGAAAAGATGCTTTTCCACAATGAAAAGAATAGATCTTGCTAAAATTCAACCTCCTTCTTCTTCTTCCATGAACCATTTTTATTGACTAAAAATGGCTCAAATCTTGTAAGAAATTAAAGGTGGGATCTTTGGCAATAATTTTCACTCAATCTTGTAAAAAGATGAGTTCTTTTTGGGTTTTTTGGGCTTTTTCTTCCAACTTCAACAAGAACACCACCCAAAGTGTAAATTTTGGGAGAGTACCCAAGAAATTAATTAAATGCAACTAACTACCAAATTGTATGAACAAAACCCAATAAATACCTGACCCCAGAAAAAGCTCTAAACCCCAGTAAAAAAAAAAATTGACAAAATTATTTCTTCCTTCCAACAGCAACTTGAAAATGAAAGTGTTATGATTCTCAATAACCCGACCCAAAAACTCGTACGTCGCACGGGCTTAATCTAGCACACTCCCTCCACTTGTGTAGACAATAAATTAATCCAGTGGTTGCACCAAGCAGTAAAAAAAATATATGAAATTTTTCCAGCTGTATTGTAGAAACACACAACTATTAACAAACCTCAAACACACAAGAAAATCTCACAAGATATCGAGTAATCTCTGCAAAAGTGCAATAATACCCAGAAAGATAATTAATCACCTTATATAAAGATATTAAGAATATGAAAAAATAAAATAAATTTATGATGAAGAAGATGAAGAGAAAATTAGTTGCACATTCAGCAAAATAAATATAAGGTGATAAAATAGGGAGAAAATTATTTATGTTGAATTTTCAGGGTATTTTAAGATTATTTTTTTTTCTTCGACCAAAGAAGGCAGCTTTGAACGAAGACTTGAATCATCTCTCTCTTTCGTTTGACTTTCCACCCTTTTGTAATCTAACACGCATTTGCCCAATTTTTTTGATCTATAATTTAAAACCCATTTAAATTAAAATTAAAAATAACCCAGAAAATGAAAATGTAATAATAAAAATTCAAGATTTTCAACTACCATCAACAACCCCACAAAGGAAATTTAAGACCTTTATATAAAATAAAATAAAATAGAATATTCTAAAAGGGAATAGTATAGTATAATCGTATATTATATAGTTTTTTTATAGAATATATAAATTCAACAAAAGGGGATGATTGAAGATGACTGCAATTGATTTGATTTGGGAATCGCGGGAAAATTAAACCCAAATAAATAAAAATAAAATAAAAATTCTAGACTGGGTTAAAAAAGAAGAAGATGATGAAGATGAAGAAATTATTAATTTGTTGGTTTCAGGGGTTTTTTCTGTGAATCTTCTTCTTGTGATTTGTGTGACTGACTTTTTTGTTTCTGTTGTTTCGCTGAATCTTAGAGGAAAAGACATGTGAAGAACTCTTTACTGAGATTAATAATTAAAATTGATAGATGTACTCTTGTGGTAATATTAATTTTCTATCTTTTTTACTTTATTTAGTGGAGTGATGAGAATAAATTTACAAAAACAATTAAATTACAAAATAAATAATATAAAAGTTGAATTGATGTGTCATGTGTGTGATTTGTTGTGTTGTGTCTTTGATTCAATTTTGCATTATTAGGGATATTTTTAGCTCCCTAATTCACTATTGAGGTAATTAATTTTTTGTACATTTTAGGGTGCCGGGATGAAAAGAAAAATAAAATATCGTGTGGTCTAATTAGTTGGTATAATTAGCTAGTTAATTAATACAAATTGCTAGAGCTAATAGTTGATTTTTAGCCGAGGTGAATAGGTATAACCTAAGGGAACTTGATAATGTAATAATGAGCTGATGTTGATCCACCATGACAACACGATTGTATAGTATGATATGAATAGGAAACGATATAGGCATGTTGGTGTTAAAATTCTTAAATGTTAATTTAAAGAGGTAACTTGAGTGTAGATATATTATAAATTGATCGAATTAGTGTTAAAATTTTCAATTTGAAAGTGACATCGCATATAACATTAACTTAGAAGTTATTATCTTTATCTTAGTTCATTGAATTTATCTTAGTTCATTGAATTAAAATTGATTTTATATTCATCGAATCCTTGCTGATCTTGTTGTAAAACTTTTTTTTTTATCTAATTAATTTGTTTGTAGGGTAAAAGGTATGTTGTCTTTTTTTTTATTTTTTTTTTATTACTGAACAAAATTGGATTTTGTAAGACTAATGTAAGGAAATAGACCTACAAAAACCAACGACATTAAAATCGTTTGAGATATAACACAGTTACACAACTTTATTTATTTCTATCTTTTATTCTTTCCTAACAGATAATATTTGCAATTAGGAAACTAGATGGGTTTTAGGTATGTAATTATTCTAGGGTTATTTAGAATTTGGGAGCAAGAAGTAAAACATCCTAATTGATGTGGGTTTCTAGGTTAGGCTACAAAAGAGGTTGAGGCTTACTTTAGAATTATGATGGTTTGTTAAGGATGAAAAATTATCAAGAGGGCTAAAATAATTATATTTGATAGGACAAAGAAATTTCCTCATAAGCATGGTATTTTATTTTATTTTTTAATTATCGTATTTTGCTATTTTGTTCTATATTGTGTCTGAGGATGAGCTCGCAAACCATTCCATATGCAAGTATTTCATAATAACTAATAACTTTTTTTTTTACGGGTAATTACTAATAACTTCATACACTTAATTTTTTAAAGAAAATGGAATCTTCACAATTTTTTTTATTTTTTTATTTTTTTTAGTGTTTATAAAGTCATGAGATGAGTGATGAGAATCAATCCCAGGATCACCTAGAATCGGGAGGGAGAACTCTAAAACCACCTTAGCTATTCCTCATATCTGCATAGCTAAACTTTATACTTATCAAAATAGTGAAATACTTATTTTGAGTGTCTATTTAAAGTAAAGCAGAAGCTAGGTTTTTATGGAGCTACACTTCATATAATTCAATTTTTATTAAACAAACCAAGTTGAGAATTGAATTACTCGTTCTTAATTAGACTAATTTAAAAAAAAAAAAAAAAAAAAAAAAAAAAAAAAAAAAAAAAAAAAACCGAATAAAGCGGATCAATTCAAATGTCAATCATGTAAACAACTTACAACTAGCCACCACATTGTGCCATTGACTTCTTGCATTGTATCTTAAATTTCAAGTTTAAATAGTAAACCCACATTTATTTATAGTAAAAAGTTACAAGCTCATCAATATTTTACTCATTACTAAAAACTAAAAAATAGAGCAAATGTAAAAATGTTAAATTGACTGGAAACCTGTTGAGGTGGTACTAATTTAGTGAATAAAATGACAAGTTGTTGAACTAATTTTAATTAAAAAAAAAAAGTGAGTAATTAATAAAAGAACAAGAGTAACGCCGTCATTGAGGGCATAATAAGGGAAGAGGTGAGTAATTAGTGCAACCGGTGAGATCGGTCAAATGTCTTTGGTGTCTTACGTAATCCCATGCGTTTCTAAGGAGGCTTATATAAGCTCATTATTAATTATAAAACTCCCTTTATTTTAATCTAATAAACTTTTAGACGTAATTTAGTCGCTTCACTCAACTATATATTAAAGAATTCATCCGTACAATATTATTTTTAATTAGTAGAAAATATCTACATGTTTGAGTTTGAACCAAAGAATTTTAAGGTATTAAGAATGTGATATTGTGATCGAGATTCTTTGATTGTTTTGTGGGCTTTGTAACTGTTTGACAATAAGAGATGGATGATTAGCGGTTTGAATTAGCTGTTAACTGATTGTATTATCGAACTAGCTAGTTTGTTGTATTGATTGTGCTGTGTAAAAGTGTTTTGGTAAGTGTTTATTAGATTTTAGACTTTTACATTAATTGGGTGAAATGATCACCTACAAAATGTTACAATAATACAAAGTTTATTTGAAGGAAAAGTTTGGGACATCCCAATACATGATATGTACTAAATTTGGGTTAGAATACTCATTTCGCTAATAATAATAATAATAATAATAATAATAATAATAATAATAATAATAAATTAATTAATTAAAAATAAAAAAAAAAAAAAAAAAAAAAAAAAAAACCTCTCTACAAACCAAATTGTACTACGTATAAGGTAGATTTTTACGTACGTTTAAGCTTCTCTTTCAACTAAACATTTTCATAAGAGGTTTGGACTAGTCAAACCTCTCTTTTTGACCCAAATTATCTCCATCAAAAATTTCAGAATCCATACTTTCTTAAAAGTTTATATTTATAAGTCAAAAATAAAAAAAATTACAAAATAGATATTTTTAAATTTTGATCTAATTATTATTATTATTATTATTATTATTATTATTATTATTATTATTATTATTATTATTATTATTATTATTATTATATCTTAAAAATAGACAAAGTCATATAACCTATAAAAAGTTACTAGGTAGCCGAGATACAATGTGAGCCCCCCACTCCTCTAGTTATAGCAAATCTAATGCTAGTAAATATATGAGCAGTAGCACGTGCCCCAATGTCTTGCATCGTCAAGAATTTTTGAATCCGCTTCAGCAATGCAACAATCTCTTTCTCTATTTCCCCAAGTGAAGAAAATTAGAAGGGAATGAAACCATATCCAATTGCCTGACATCGAGCGTCATACTTAACCCGCTTTCGATGAGCCGCATCAGCCACAACCCGCCCAGGAATGAAGTCAGATAGCCTTGACTGTGTCAAATGAGAAGACATTATTATTATTATTATTATTATTATTATTATTATTATTATATCTCAAAAACAAAAGTCATACAACCTACAATAAATTAGTGGGTAGCCGAGATACAATTTGGGCCCCCACTCCTCTAGCTATAGCAAAGCCTACTCTAGTGAATATATGAGCTCAAGCACGAGCACCAATGTCTTGCGTCGTCGAGAACCTCTGAATCCGCTTCAGCAACGTAACAGGCTCCTTCTCTAATTCCCCAAGCGAAGAAAAGGAGGCTGATATGTCTTTTCAAATAAAAATATATTAGATGAAACCCGTGCGATGCACGGTTTATTTGTATTTTTATAAAAATATTTTTTGTATTTATGTGATAAAATTTATTATGTTATTCGTTGTATGTGGTATATTATTTAATATTTTTATTTTAAAATGAATTGTGAATTTCCTCTTATTCGTTCTATATCTAAAAAATAATCCATCCTAATTGCAAAAGATAATATATTATATCTAATTAATCTATACTGTAAAATCACATTTGCCAATTTTGCTTATGTGGTATTTGAATTATTAAATCTAAAAGAATTTGCAAATCTTTTATTTGATTGGCTATCATTAAAATTTGTAATCTTACATGGCGCGTCAAAACAATTTTATCCTCTAAAAAGTCAGAAAAAGCTCTCCTAAACAATCAATAATTAAGTTAGTTGGTATTAAATAACACGGAGTATATATATATAGGAAAACACTAAAATGTTGTGACCCTACATTTTCAACTTTTCATATAAATTACCTATAGTTTAATTTTTACCTTTCTCAATCCAAGACCTCGTGTAAATTATCGTGTGGAATGTTGTTAGATTTGTGGTAATTTGTATTTTTATAATATAAAATATTTTAAAAATTAAAATTTTTATTATAAAATCTATTAATCTATCTATCTATCTATATATATATATTATACTAAAAGACAAACGCCTCAATGTGAGGATGACAAATGTCACTCTCTCATTGGCTTATCTTATGTATAAAATATATCTATATAATTACTGTTTACATATTCAAGCATAGTTATTTTTGTTAAACTTCAAACAATAAAAGCAAGTTTCTATACTTGCATAAGATTTTCATGATTTCCTAACATAAATATTGATTTAATTTATAATAATAAAATATATACTTTCCAATACTACAAATAATCCATAACGTCTTTCCAATCTTTATTTGTAGTCAATTTAGAGAATAATAACTAATTTGTTAAACTTCAAACAATAAAAGCAAGTTTTTATACATGCATAAGATTTTCATGATTTCCTAACATAAATATTGATTTAATTTTTTTTATAATAAATATATACTTTCCAATACTATAAATAATCCATAAAGTCTTTCCAATATTTATTTATAGTCAAGATAAAGAATAATAACTATTTGAAGCAATATGATTAAAGTGGCATAATTAAGGAAACAAATATTTCGTATTTTGAAAGACTAATTTTTTTTTTTATGAAAATTAAATAAAATCGATAAAATTTAGTTTGACGTGAATTATGAAATCAATACAAATATTTAAAAATAATCAGATGTACAATAAAATATTGGGCACCTATTATAAAAGCTACCCTGTAATGAATGAAAGTTATTTATGCTTTATTAATAAAAGTTACCCAAAATAGTTTA